ATAATTAAATTAGATTTTTTTCAAATCGTGATATAGTTATGTAATAGTATTGCATTTATAGTATATTAAGTTAAACTACAGTATAAACCATTTGTGTGATCTGTCTTACAATAATCACTACAAACATCACAAGTCTTTGACAATGATTTTGATGATTCATTCATTGGTTTATTTAATGGAGAAAATAGTATAGTATAATAATGTTTGTACTTATATAACAACAATAGTTCACAAACAGTACTAAACATTACTATAACTTATAGTTATATATATTTAAAGCATTATATTGTATAATATTGAGCTCATGTCAAGTGAACAGCTGAGCTAAACTCCAGGTGTTGTAGTCGTAGCGCATCTTTAAAGAGTCAAAAAGTGCTTATTTAGTGATCTGAGTCACAAAATACAAGAGAGATGTGCCACAACCTCCCGGTCTAACCTCCCGTTTCCTATTTATTTGTTAATCAACACTAATTATAATAGCTCTCACTATAAATAAAAAATAGCTCAATAAATAATATTAGTTAATCTGTAAATATTATCGTCTATTATTTTATATAACTTTTAATATTTAAGTATACAGTATATAACTTAAAAATTGATTAATAATATACAGTATATGATTATTTAAAAAATGCCTAAAATATTTTTGTATAAACTTAAAATATTGTAATAGTTGTGATATTTTTAAATGAAAACTAATCAAAGTTTAAGCCGTAAACATATAACAAATCTATAGTATATAACGTCAATAAACTAATCCATATATTGCGTGATTTGTATAGTTAGCCGCTTATGAGTGGATTTAGCCATTAATTTGCAAAATATTTTTACAATAATATATTGTATAATATAAATGCTAAAAATGTTTAATATTTTTTGGTATAACAACTAAATTTATAAACTAATTTTGATCTCTTATTGCTTTTTAAAATAACAAATTTCTTGGATTAAAGCCTTTGAATCGAAAAAAGTAATTATTTAAGTAATAATAGTAAGAATTGATAGTAAATAGCAATAAATGCCAGTAAGAGAGGGATGAGTAAAGTATAGTCTAACTGACCCTCTCGTGTGCCTCCAAAAGGTGAACACATTTTGAACGAAACCCCAACTAATTTATTTGTATATAACACGAGTGAACCCCCGGAGCACTCATTCCTACTCTCTCTCTCTCTCTCTCTCTCTCTCTCTCTCTCTCTCTCACTCACTCACTCACTCACTCACTCACTCACTCACTAACGTACTGTATATTAGAAGAGTAGCTCCACTTATAATCAATATATTATACAATCACTAACTAATATGTTATAATATCTGTTAAATTATTTTGAAATTTTTTTATATGCCTGACACTTAAAATAAATGTTAAAAATGGTATTTAAAACAAAATAACATTTATAATAGAAAATTGCGTGAAAAATCTGAAATTATGTCCTCTATTTATACAATCATTACTTATAATGCATTTGTTTTTTAGTAATAAATTATTTTTAAAAAAACAAGTATCAAATGTTTGCAAAATTATTTTATAATTTTATATTTCAATACATCATATTTTTAAAAAAATTATTTATATTTATAATACGGTGTTTTAGGTAATTATAAGTTGATTTTGTCATTTATGTTGCTGCTAAATGGTTTTAGATAGATAATACTGTATTAAATATTAACTTTAATAAAAATAATTTATTGTAATTTAAATTTTCATTCATATAAATATACTGTAATAAATATAGTTGAATATCAGTTATTAAATTATATAATTTGTATTTTTAATTAACAAAATAAGTAACCAATATTTTAAAACTATTGATTTATTTTGTTTTTAATTAATTACTTTGATACTATGATAGTCAAAATAACATCACAACTATATTAATAGTCATGATTTTAAATGTCTAAATAATTAAATAAAGATTAATACTACATAAACTGCATTTAGCCTTATTAAGTATTATTTCAGAAATTTATTATATAATCAATCTATTGAATTTAATATCTGTCAAATACATTGTAATTAATGCATAAAATATATAATAAATTAAATTATTTTTCTCTTTAATCATTATTAAATTCATGAATTTCAATTAGCTATTAAATATAAGTTATAATATAATTTTCAGGTTGAACGACAAATACTGTAAATATTATTGTATAATATACTGTATTTTATAAATACAGTATAATGTCAATATAATTCTGCAATTGACAATATTTAACATAATTTACTAGAATTGATGTTATGATTTTGTTTTTATCTAAATCATATTATATAACTTATTTAGAAAAAGAAAGAAAGAAAGAAAGAGAGAGAGAGAGAGAGAGAGAGAGAGAGAGAGTATGTGTCTCACGATTGCCCTATGGATGAACAGGTGGACTGTAATTGTAAGTCATTTCTATTGATTATAAAGTGAGGAACACTTGTGTTATAAATAACTCTTTGACTCCAATAATATATTAATGACTGACTGTTTATACAATTTATTATATTTAATATTCTCTTTTAACAAATTCTTTATTCTTTAAGATTATACAATACATTCAAAATATAATTATATTAATAGTTAAGTATTTGTTTCCAAGGATTGATAATAGTATACTGTATTTTAAAATAAATAATATAAATATTACTTCATCGACCTGTTTAATGTCAGAAAACTTCAATTTTAACAAGTTTTATGTGAAAGCATTTCAAATTAATGTCTAAAATCGATTATTTATAATAAATTGTAAACTTATTACAAAATATAATAAATAGTCTTAACTTAAATATAGCAGTGTATCAAAATTTATATTAATTAATCACATCATAAAATGATTGAATCGATCAAAAGTTATTTTTTAAAATATTCTTTAAAACTGTAAACTAATAAATTGGTTCTAATTTTAACAAATTACAGTGTTTTGCAAATAATTTTTAAAAGTAATTTTTAAAAATTATTAAAAATATCATATAAACTGAATTAAGATATGTATAAATTATATATAATAAATAAATTATAATTGAGTATAAATGTGAGTATAGTATCAGTATTTGTAATATTAACATATAATAAGTCATATTTATCTTAATTAAATTTTTCAATTATAAAAAAATAAAAATTCATAAAATCACTTCTTAGTAAAATATATTAATTAAATTTTATATAAATATATTAAATGAAATTCATTAAAGTTATAATACTGAAAAATAAATATTTCAAAAACAAAACTAACAATTAAAAATAAAATAATTATTTGATACTTAATTTATTTTAATTCTGTTGGAAATATTGATAATAAATATATAAAAGTCATGAGTTGTCATATTTATAGACATTTGACTTTAATTAATTTAAAACAATGATTATTATAACAATAATGGATTTTTATCAATTATATTTTTAATAAATTTTTCAACATAGTATATATTAGCTTTTAAAGTTGTATAATACAAGCAATACATTGTACAGTATTATACAAAGTCAAAATTCAAAATCTTGTATTTTTCCAACTCTGGTAATAACTCATTAGTATTGTATAATTTGTAGAGTACTGTAGATTACAATAAAAAATAGAAATAATTTATATAAAAAAATTTAGTAATAATTTATTCTATATTATTGTTGCCTAACCGGCAAACTTTTACGACAATTGGCCACAAACTGCGGCACAATTAATACCATTGATAGCACTATTTCGTCGTCTATTGTCGCGGAAGGACTCATCAGAAGGTACCGCGAGATAGGAATAAAAATGGCAAACACTTACCGATAATTACTTATTGTTGAGACTATTAGTTGCTTATATATCTCAATATTAAATGACTATTTTCTTAGAGATATACAGTACTATATATATATATATATATATATATAGAGAGAGAGAGAGAGAGAGAGAGAGAGAGAGAGAGAGAGAGAGAGAGAGAGAGAGAGAGAGAGAGAGAGAGAGAGAGAGAGAGAGAGAGAGAGAGAGAGAGAGAGAGAGAGAGAGAGARAGAGAGAGAGAGAGAGAGAGAGAGCTATAATATATATATTTATTTATTTACGTAATTAGATGTTTAACTGCAAAAATTTAAAATATGATTCAATGCTTTGTCCCAAAATTAATTGTGCCGCAGTTTGTGGCTAATTGTTGTAAAAGTTTGCCGGTTAGGCAACAATAATATAGAGGAAAATGCAATTATTACTAAAATTTTTATAATTAAATTTGATTCCTCTAACTAAACATTTAATTATTTATTACTCACTTCACCACTAAAACCATTGCTTATATTATTTAGAAACACATTGTTATCAATGAAATAATAAAATCAAATTCTATTTTATAATACAAAAGTTACTTATGTTTCATCAATTCTTAGGAAATTTATTTAAACTTATTAAACCCTAAACAACACATTTTATTATAATGTTTAAAAAAAAATATTATATTAATCTGTATTTAAAATCTGTATTAATAAAATAGTATCGCTAAATTTATTGTATTCAAATTTATTGATAATTATCTCAATATTTTTTTTTGCAAAATATTTAAGTTTTGGTACGATTTATTGTAATAAAATAAAATATATTTTCCATTTCTAACGATGAAGGGAAAATAATATATTTCCGAGAAAATTGGAGAGATTTTATTAGGGAACTTCCCTTCCTTAGAAAGTTGCTCAAACTTTAAATACAATAAATAAAGATTAAAAATTATTTAGAAAAATAGTAACAATAAGATTTATCACTTTTATGAAAATCTTATTTACTTATTAATTTTGTTACTTTATCTATCAATTAATTTAAATAATATTAATTTTTTGTGATGAAAATAATTTTTAATTTAAGAATAGTATAAAAACTGAGAACTGATTAAATGTATTATGAATTGAAAATGAATTAATTGTATTATAAAGTCGCGCGAAATTAAATTGAAATTTTTAGTAAAGGTTTTAATTAGAATCTCGAGACATATTATTAACTATTATTAGATACAAAACACATTCGTTTTGATACCTAATGTTAACAAATCCAAAGACAATGGACATCAATGGTGACAATCAGTTACTTAATTCTCCGAAAGCACACACACTGTCACCAATGCATCCAATATTTGAGTTCAATGCAAATGACAGAACTAATGGCAAATCATTCAATCAGGCAATCAATAGTTATCACATCAATGAGGGTCGACACCAATGGAATCGTATACGTAAGGGTCGACCGTCCAGTCAACACGTTTTCAATGGTTTTCCATATGAACCTCATTTCAATGCAATGCCTTCACAACAGCCTATATTGAGATATGCAAACTCTCCACCAGTTATGTCACCCAAAGGTAAATCAAACTGGAGTAACACATCAAAGCCCGTATATGAGAGTCGCCAATGGCATCACCAGAGAGGATGGCATTATGTCGACCACATCGACGATGAGCCGCCAACGCACCGAACCAAGTGCTGTACCGATTGGTCTGAATTAATCAATCATTTGAATGCCTGCACTGATGCCATCAGGAATGACCTAAAAGGCATTAAACAAAGTATTGACAATTCAAATGACAAACTTATTGATACTATTAAAGAGTGTAACTCTCAACTCAATAAAACATTCATTGATATTATCAAACATTCTGACAGTCAGATTACAGAGTCTGATAAATCTAAGTTACAATAAGTGCTAAAACATTAGCTTATTTGATAAATACTATAAATAAATACTGATTAATATTATATATATAAAAAATCTGTTGAATATATAATTTATAATTAATTATTAAATTATTTTTATCCTTTTTACTAAATTCATATATTTTTAAGAGCTAAAAAACTTTTATTTTATTTTCTTATTATATTAAATTAAAACTATTATATTACTTTATCATTAATTGTATAATATTTATTAGTAATACGAAGTGACAATATTTATTAATTTTTAAAAATATATAATTTACTGTAGCTTCATATTTTAATATTAAATAAAATGTATAATATATTTATAGTTAATATTGAAAAATACTGAACTTAAATAAGATGCTTAGCTTTAAACTTGTGGTACGACTCAAAATAAAAGTAGAAATATGGGTCAAATGCACAAAAAAAACTTTTAATAGTAACTAACTTCTAGTTTAAAGGTATCTTTCAATTCATAAGAAAGCGTTGACCTAATATTGAATACATTGACATCATATGACTTAAATTAAAAAATTTTAGTTTGTATTTAACAAAAGTTTGTTAATATGTAAGTTAATTGTGAGTTAAAAAACATAATGTTATTCTATATAATATTTTTGATAATTTTATCGGTAAATGTTTTAATATATAACTTTTTAGTTATTAATACAATAGCAGAGTTTTTATCAAAAGTGATATTATTTGCAATTTGGATATATTTATCGTGGAATTTGAGTCAATCTCTTTGGAGATTAAAATTTATACCCAAAAGATGTGTTAATCCTAAAGGAAAGGCAGTCCTCATCACAGGTAATATTATGTCTTATAAATTATATAAAAACGTTTAACAATTATATTGATTTAAAAGGATGTGATACTGGGTTTGGCAATAAATTGGCGCAACGTTTAGCTTACGAAGGCTATCATGTATTTGCTGGTTGTTTAATACCAAATAGCAGTGGAGCTCAGCATTTAAAAAAACAATTTGAAGACAATATAACTATTGTATCGCTAGATGTAACTAAAGATGAAAGTGTATTGGTTGCCAAAAATTTAATTCAAAAATCATTGAATACTAAAGGTTTTTATTGAATGTCTTAAAAATAATTACTAATATTATAATTGAATAGAGAATTATATAATAAAAAACTTTTTAGCCATATTTAAAATGGATTAAATATAATTGTAAATTAATTTTATCAATTAGTTTTTAAATGTTAATTGTTTCTTATATTATAAATTAAAAACTCCTAAATCTAATATTTCGTAAATCTATTCTATTAAATCTGAATAAATTATATTTAATTAAATTAATTTTTATAAAAATTTCCAGAACTATGGGCTATAGTTAACAACGCGGGTGTATTGTCTTCATATGAAGTAGAATTTGGAGATATGTCTTCATTTGTGTGCCAAATGGATGTAAACTGTTTGGGAACAGTTAGGGTGACGAAAGCATTTGTACCACTTTTGCGCCACTGTAGAGGTCGTGTGATTAATATGGCGAGTCTTGCCGGAAGGTTTGCCATCCCAGGTATGGTTGGCTATTGTATGTCTAAAAGTGGTGTCATATCATTCTCTGATGGATTAAGACGTGAAATGAAAAAATGGGGAATTGATGTCATTTGCATTGAACCCCATCTGTTTAGGTTTGATTCATATACTACTCTATAATTTTTGTTAATATATTGTTAACTTTTTGGTACTTTTAAAATACAGAACTAATTTAGTTAATGGAGTCAATCATAACAATGCTTTAGTGAAGGCATGGCAACAGACACCTCAAGAAATACGAGAAGCTTATGGCGAGTCTTACTTTCAGGGATATCAAGCATTGCTTAATAAGGCATTAGAAACGGCCAGACCTGGTGTTGACAGTGTAGTCAATACTATGTTTAATGCAGTCACACATCATTCAGTATCAGCTAATTATCGAGTTTTAGGACATTTTGAAAGATTAAGAGTTTGGATGTTTGAATACTTGTGGCCCATTAGAGCTCTCGATTACATCTCATATATCGGTTGTATTTGGGCCACAGGTTTGCCTCAATTGATTAAAATCAGGTATTCAAACAAATATTGTTAATAAATCAAAATAATAATTAATAATAATATCAAAATACGGTATATATTATTGTTTATTTTCTCATCAATTAAATACAGTATTTCAAAATATTCAATGAAATGACATTACACTGTACATCGGTAACTATATTTCAATTTAATTTTTTTAAATGAAAAAATTAAGTAAAAATTTGTTGTGAAAATGATAATTAAATAAATCAATTGTACGCAATGGGTATACAAAGTGTTTAATAGACGAGTTTCATCAAACTTTTGCTGAGTATTTGTTGCATTTTATGAAAGTCATCCAATCGTAAAATATTTTTCCAATTATTGGCTGCAAACTGTCGACACCGTTCCTCCAAATCAGGTAAACCCGAGTTGACGGCTAACTCATAAAGAAAGCATACATTTTCCAATTTTATACAATTTTCTAAGTGCTTAGAACACAGGTTTTTAAGCTCTTGTTCCTTATAAATAGTGACTAATCTTAAGATATCGGATGCATTTTCATCATTAACTTGCGGTGATATTCCATATAAAAATTGAATGAAAGCATAAAATGCTTTATATGAATATGAGGTCACAATTATCTCGTTTTGGTTGTTCAGAAAAGTCTCGCATTTTTGCCAAAACTTTTCATTACGTATTTTAAGTACCGTTTTATGACAATAAATTGGTCGACTGTTGACAATAATTTTGAGATCACTGTTATCCGGATTATCAAATGCTTCACTTAAATGCTTCTGAAATATCAAATGAGAATCACATCTTTGTATTGATTTTTGACAATCACCAGACTGTGCATCACTTGTAGCGGATGACTGATTGACATTTGTATTCATCAATTCTTGAATCGTTGTATTTGTGTCATAATAGTCTAAATCACTTGATTTAGGAGATGTAGTGTTGGTCTCAACAATATCTGAATTGATTGATGACAATGAATAGTAACAATCACTCAATTTATCAATTTTATCGATCGTTTCATTCATTTCAACATATTCTTCGGCCAACTTTTTATTATTTACATTCAAATCATTGAAGACAATTGTTTCAAAAGTTTTAGATATTTTTGTATATTTTGAATAAATATCATAAACTGTGTATAATTGGATCGATTCATTCAAAAGACATGGATGTGATATCTTTTTCTTGAAGTCATTGGTTGAACCAAATCCCCAAATAAAATACTTGTCGTCAGACGAGATTGCAATCGATATATTATTGTCATAATTAGCAAAGATATCCTTAAACTTAATCTTATTGTTGATCCTAACAGCAGTGAATTGTGTGGCATAACAGCCGTTCCCGATCTGTCCGCAATCGTTTTGTCCAAAAGCAAAGATATATCCGTCAGCACTGAGTAAGAGACAATGATTTGGACCGCAAACGCCTTTAATTAACTTATAATTGATGACATCATCCATACAAAGGGGTCTTTTGCTAAGAAACAGCTTCTTCTGTGTTCTTAAGTCTTGTGAGTGGTGTCCCAGTTGTCCCAATTCATTAGATCCCCAGACATACGCTTTACCCAAATGCGAAACCGCCAATGAGTGACACTTACCACTAGATATAGAAATAATTTTGTCTTTAATGAAGACACGCGTTGGTATCGACTGATGCTGTTGTGAACTGTTACCGATCTGTCCATAACAGTTGCGTCCGAAAGCAAATACAAGGCCATCAGTGGTCAGCGCCAAAGTATGCGAGTTTCCACAACTGACGGCAACAACAGTCTTGCAAACGAACTCTTCAATGAGTTGCGGTCGACTCGTGTGTTCAAATGACCCGATGCCGAGTTGGCCGAACTCGTTATTACCCCATCCATAGAGACGACCATTACTAGTGAGACCAATGCAATGACCAAAGCCGTAGTAGATGTTGGCCAACATCTTGTTTGATAAATACTTGTTATTCGTAGCTTTGGTCACTTCTATGTCAATCTGTGTATCCAAACCAAGACATCCGTATCTATTATTGCCGAAGCCGTACACCTGGTCATCGTTGGTCACAAATATCACTTCAGAGCCATTATTACCAAAACAAACCAACAGACGAAGTCTTTGTTTCAATTGTTGGTCTTTAAGTAATGGCTTCAATGGTCTAAACTTCTTAATCTCCACCAACTTATCCATAGATTGTTTAATCAGTCATTCATTTGAATCATTCAATTGTGTGTTATATCAGTCATTGAATGTTAACTTAGATAACAATGTTTTGCAAACAATTGCCGCAAATTATAACTCAAATATCAATTGTCAGACAAACACACACTAACGCTATGACAACATTGTTAACAATGTTTTACTGCACTTATTAAGTATGCAATCATTATAACAACCAATCAAATTGTTTACTATAATATACTGTACTTAACAATAGGCTATATCTATATAATATAGACTGATATACAGTACTGTATTATCTGATCATTTGATACTCTAATAAAAGACTATTTTTTAAATACTGTAGATATGATTACCAAATATTTAAATTGAATTTATAAATATATTATATTATATATAAATACTGTATATTAATATACCATATGCTATGCTATTTATAATATGATAATAATATATGATTCACTAATTATAGTACAGTATTATACAATGTTTTATATTAATATATTACTAAACATCTTAGGTCTCAAAGTTGATATCAAACTACAGTACTGTATATATGATATAAATACAGTACAATGTGTTTCATTAATTGCTAAACACGATGACCACTAAAATCTATAATAATATATTAGTTGTACTGTATATACATGTAGTATATTTATAGTATATTTAGTAATATTATTTACATTTCAATTTGAATTCACATATTATATGATGCTATTTATATCTACAGTATTTCAAGTTATATCTATTTATGTTAACAAAAATGAATTTAAAATAAATAATAAAATACTGTATTAGATATGTAATAAAAATCAATAGTTGTATAATAAAAACATAGAAAGCAATAATAGAGTATTTATAACAATAATAATCTGTAATTAAATATTACATTCAATTATAATATGATATTTTAATCCTATGAGTCATGTGTTGTCATAAATTTAATTGTATTTATACAGCATTAGTGAAAACAATGAAATTTGAGACAAATTGTAAATACAGTCAATTATTTTATATTAATAGTATATGTGTTCATTCACTTACATAATTGTCATATAAAGCAAAACAATTTTAATTAAGTCATAAAATAATAAACTTTAATAATATGACTAAAATTATATGACATTAAATTAATAAATGATTTTATAAATGTATAATAAATGAACAAATAATATGTTAGATATCATATAATATAAACTTTTCAAATATTTATATCTATATTATATTCATTGCTTTTCTATACTATTATTAAAAGAAAATAATTTTCAAAATAGTTTAAAGTTTTTGCTTTAACTAGAGGGTAAAGGTTAAGCAATATGGAGGGGTAAAGGTTAAGCAATATGGAGGGGTAAAGGTTAAGCAATATGGAGGGGTAAAGGTTAAGCAATATGGAGGGGTAAAGGTTAAGCAATATGGAGGGGTAAAGGTTAAGCAATATGGAGGGGTAAAGGTTAAGCAGTGTGGTTGGGGTTAAAGACATTTTATACTAAGATTTTTTTTAAAAATAAATGCGCGAATAAATTTCAATGAATAAAAATAGAACACTATTTGGAATTTTTTAAATATTTTTCTGGGAATTTTAGGGAATTTATAGAGAAACTTGATATGAATATTATTTATTAATTGTATAAAAACAGGATTCAAATCTAGACATTGAATATTTTGTATTATTAATAGTATTATCATTTAACCCTAGAATTGAAAACTTTGCTAAACTCTGTTAATTTAGTTTTAATTTTTTATTAGTAAATTTGATTATTTTTGTGTTTTTCATGTTTATCAAACAATTTAATATTACTTATTAATAAATTTAAAAATTATTATTCTAATACTATTATATTTTATACAATATTTTGGTTAATACTGTATTAAATTTCCAGCACTTAAACAATTATAAAATCTGTAATTTTTGAAATATCAATATTTAATAATTACTGATGATTTAACTTAAAATGTTAGGGGCTGTTCACATATTACGTTCGCACTTTTTAAGAAATCTAGACCCCTCCCTCCCCTATGTTCGCAATTGTTCGCATTTAGTCATTTAAAAAAATTACGTTCGCATGTCCCTAACCTCCACCCCCCCCCCTCGTTCGCAAAAGTTCGCTTTGGCTAACCCCCCTCCCCTCAAGTGCGAACGTAATATGTGAACCACGCCTTATAATTTTATTATTGAATACATGATTAATCATTGATAAAATTGATTATATGTTGTTTGATAACACATTTATTTGAAACATAAAAACTAGTGATAACTCGTTTATTTTACTGTTAAATGCATAAAAACAATATTATTATTATTATTATGTATTATATATTTATAGCTAACAATTATATTAATGATTTCACAGAATTAATGATTAAGAAAAACTAATTCAATTAATTATGTCTGAAAAGTTGCTAATTGTATAAATTGTAAATAAAATATTAAATTAATAAATTTGAAATCAAATTAACATATAATCCAAAAATAAGAATTTTCATAATTATTTGTTCCATTTTATTGTATATAAATAAAGTATGTTTTATAGTATACTGTATACTAGGGTTAGAAAAATATAAGGTTTTGAATTTTGACTTACAGTGTAGTCCATGTATTATACATTCTTAAAAACTAATATAATTAAGTAAAAAAATTTTATAAAAATTATTTAATGACAATATAATTCAATAACTCATTATTTTTATGTTAATATTTGTTTTCTAAGATAAAAATAGAAATAAAATTAAAAAATTAATACAATATTTATTATAAAACATATTTATTTTTTGATTATATCAATGGTTTAGATACTAGGTGGCGCTAACTTTTGTTTTGTATTACAATATTGGTCATGTATTATACTGTATAATACGCTTTGTATGATACAACCATTTTGTCTTTGCAAACACTAGTATATACACACATATATCTACAGATGTATACATTTATATTCTGTACATTATATTTAAAATGATTTTTCTGTAATTGTATTTTAATTATAGAGATATAAATTGCTAAAACATTTTATATCAATATAACTACTAAATGTCTTTATTAGATAAGAAGTCCTATAAATCCATGACTATATTATAATTAAATAATTTATTGCCGGCAATAATGTATATATAACTCGCAAAATCATAATTGTATAACAAATAACATTCAAGATATAAAGGGTTGATCTAAAAAATTAACAAACTTTTGTTATATTGACTAATATTAATATCCACTATCAATAGTTATGGCTGTAATTTATAATATAAATCCAATAACACAGTCTATTAGATATTTGTTCATTAAATTAGACAATAATTTGTTTATTAAGTAATAAAAAGCTAAGTTTTGTTTAACTTAAGAATATTTGTGTCGACCCTGGTAATATTTGAATAGATATTTTATTACAATCTTTAAATACTCATACATTAATATATGACAGTTGTTGTGAAATTATAAACCTATTTAAGCAAAAATATTTTCTTATGAACTAATTTAAAGTATTATTAAATATCAATATTATAGAGTATTAATTAATTTTAACGCAATTACAAAGAATTTGATCAAAATTGATGAATCAATTTGAGCATTATGTGTATTGCAAATTATAATTTAATAATAAAACATATAGTTATGTATATCGAAAATATTAAAAGTATTATTTAACATTTAAACAAATAAAATGAATAAAAATTTGTTTAGTAATATAATTTCAATAATAATTTTGTGCAACTTTTTTGTTAATCAAAAGGTTTTATCACAGAATACTAATTCTGTAGATGAAAATATCAATAATAAAACAGAGATTTATGAGAAATGCAATAATAATGGACAGGATGTGGACTGCAAAGCTAACCAGTCAGACCTGACAGCATCAACCCATCCATCACTGAAAGATGACAATCCCAACGATATGGACTTTGCATCGGTTCCCACAACTGTTTGGCTATCGTTCGCCATTCCCTTTATATCTATCCTTATGTTTCTCATAATTAGTGGTTATATCTATAAAAGGATTGCAAAGATTGGCACAAATGTGGGTCAACTTCGGACAGAGTATTACATAAATGGTTCGACAATCGTATCACAAATGCGTGAAGAATCGCAACAAACATATGATTCAAGAATCAGTGGTCCGAGTGGTCCGAGTGGTCCAAGTGGTCCGCCACCCAGTTATGACAAACTCATCATTTTTGATATCAATGATATGCCGCCCACTTATGAAAGTCTTAACAATAAAAAATTATTCAATGTTTTTGTTAAATATAAGAATATTGACAATTATAATACAATTATATAATCACTAATCATTTAATACTATTAGCACTTAAATTGCTATTTGTTTATCTATTTATATTAATAATTACAAAAAATAATATAAATGCGTTTAAATATGCACAAATTATGCATATTGTTTAAAAGTAGAAAATAAAAATTTTTAATTTGGTAAACAATATTGTTATATTTTTAACATACAATAAATATATACAATATTTTAAAATAAATAATAATAATAATTTTATGATATTATATAGTTTAGTAATTTCTAATTATTTAATTTTCTTGTTGTAATTTGATGTTTAAAATGTATTAATAATTTGAAATCTTTAATGATTTTTCAAATTATTTGCTAACATATTAATATTCAAAGTAAAAAATAATTCATTGATTTATATTTTTAGTTAAATTTAATTAAATTATAAATAAAATTTTACAAAAACTTTAATTATAATTAGATAATTATATTAATTTTATAAATAAGAATCCCATTGTTGTAGTGTGTGATGTATATTATGTTAAATAACTTATCTATCATTAGTACAGTATTAATAAAGCTATAGATAGGTGTCCTATAATATAGTACAATGATAAAGTAAAATTTCTGGAAAATTATTAGAAAATTTCTATTTTCTCATTTCTAGTCATACCTGTAGTACGGGTGCAATGGAATCTAAAATCATAAGTTAACAATGCATTTATCATATAAAGTAATTTTATAGAAATACTAATATTAAGCAAAAATATTGATATATATTTAGATATTAGAATAAAACCATTAAGAATGCTATAAAGCATTATCAGAAAAAACTGACTAAAATATGTTTGCAAATTAATTGTCATTTATAAAAATAACTCATTTATATAAAATTTAAATTTTATTTTAATCATGAAATATTAAATACAAAATTAATATTTATAATAAGAATATAATAAATGTTATTTATTATTAAGGA